GTTCTGACATTTTAAAAAGTGATTTGTTATAAAAGTAATTTAGGTCAGGCACAGGCTGATGCCTGTCAATCCCAGCACTTTGGAGGAGGCCGAGGCAGGAGGATCACGAGGCCAAAGGAGTTTGAGACCAGCTTGGGCAACATGGCAAACATTTAATGATATATTTCTATAGAATGGCAAAAATTACTAAAATACTAAAATACAAAAAATTAGCCAGGCATGGTGGTACACAACTGTAGTCCCAAGCTAACTCGGGAAGGCTAGGGTGGGAGATCGCCTGAGCCCGGAGAGGTTGAGGCTGCAGTGAGCAATGACGGTGCCACTGCATTCAGCATGGATGACCATAGCATGACACCATCTCAAAAAAAAAAAACAAAATTTAGTATCTCCCAAAGGAAGCTTTGGTAAGTCTTTTTCTTTTTTTTTTTTGAGACGGAGTTCTCCGCTCCGTCACCCCCAGCTGGAGTGCGGTGGCCGGATCTCAGCTCACTGCAAGCTCCGCCTCCCGGGTTTACGCCCGTTCTCCTGCCTCAGCCTCCTGAGTAGCGGGACTACAGGCAACCGCCACCTTGCCAGCTAGTTTTTTGTATTTTTTTAGTAGAGACGGGGTTTCACCGTGTTCGCAGGATGGGTCTCGATCTCCTGACCCCATGGACCGCCTGTCTCGGCTCCCAAAGTTGCTGGGATTATAGGCTTTGAGCCACCACGCCCGGCGTAAGTCTTTTTCATCTCTTAGGATTATAGTAAATATAGCCTGGCATGGTGGCTCACACCTATAGTCCCATTATTTTGGGAGGTGAAGAAGAGGATCACTTGAGGGTCAGAAGTTCCAAGACCAAGTCTGGCCAACATGTTGTGAAACACCATCTCTTAACAAAAGCCACAAAAATTAGCCAGGCATGGTGGCATTGCACCTGTAGTCTCAGCTACTGGGGAGGCTGAGGCAGGAGAATTGCTTGAACCCTGGAGGTGGAGGTTGCAGTGAGCTGGCATTGCACCACTGCACTCCAACTGGGCGACAGAGGCAAGACTCCATCTCAAAAATATATAGATATATTAAATTAATATATAAAGATATGGAATAATTTATAATTATAAATTCCTTTTTTTTTTTTTGAAAGAGAACAGAGTCTCTGTCACCCAGCCTGGGGCCTCCCAAAGTGCTGGGATTGCAGGTGTGAGCCACCTTGCCCGGCCTATACTTTGCCATTTGTCTCTTAACACGGGTGCCCAAGAAGCTGCTGCTTCTTAGGGGGCTGCACTCAAGTAACACTTTTAATGTTAACAGGTGTTGACCGTGAGGAGCTTGTCTCTCTCCGGCTGCTGAATTCTCATTCTTAGAGAGGCAATTCGTTAATTGCCGAACCACCACCCAACATTTCTAGTGGGTCAGGGGAGAGCCCTCTGCTGCCCTGTTCATGCCTATACTACCTGTAACAATCTGATTATTGTAAGTTTTCCTGTATCCAGTATCACCTCCAACATTTATTAAGGAGTTGTGTCAAATACCACTTCACAACCAGATGAAGAATTTTAATCCACCACCCTCTACCATTCCTCATGAGGGGAGAAGGAGGAATTGCTCTAAACCCAAAGTAGAAACCTTTCCTGAAATGTGTGAAAAACCATCATTGTGAGTAGGTGAGTGTGGAGAGGTGGAGTAG